GTGTGAGGCCGCGGAGAAGCCAACAGCGGTCTCGCCTCAAACCTAAATCCTCCCTGTGGCTTTCAGAGTCAGTAGGTGTTTGTGTGTTTGAAAATGCGCGTTTGAAAATGCGCGTTTGAAAATGCGTGTTTACATGCAATTGCGCACGTTTCTATGTGTATTCTCCTCGGGAGGCTTACATGTATATCCCTCTTCTCTCGACTCTTGACTGAAGGGATCAGTCAATCCGGTTGTCTAGGAAACAGATTTCATATACACAATGTACTGTTTACTAACAACCAACAAAGTCCTGCTTTGACTCTTGTTTTTTGACATTGCTTAGGTTTCTTACTACTGCTGCCAATTAAATGGTGCGCTGAAAGGGACAAAAAAGCTTTTAAAATGTTGATGTGAGATATAAAAAGTGTCTTTAGCTCACCGGTCTGTCTCCTTGCTAAACTGTCCCTTCCCCACATCATTAACAGCACAGAGGCGGAACTGATAGGAGCGAGCTGGGATCAAGCCGTTGACCGTCACCGCTGTGGACTCTGGTTCAATATTGGCCAGCAGGATGGCCCAGGGAGCATCTACAAGACAGAAAATCAACTTTTACACCTTTTTTCTTACATGCGCATCCACACAAATACACACCTGAGTGATTGCTATTGTTCCATTCAGGAAGGAGTGCTACATTCCAAGGAATTTCAACAATATCAAAAGGGATTTTCAATGTAATGCCTTCCAGTCATTTTGTCTTAGAAGGTTTTAAAATTCAATTTAATGAAACAAACCAAGCAATGGTTAAAAAAAAAACCCAAAATAGAAGAGCAATAACAGTATTGGTACCCACAGGGAAACTTGGTCTCTGCATTTAAGTATTAGGAGCAGAGAGCAGCTGACATACAGCACCCTGAGACCAACTCCAGATTTAAGCCAGTGCATTTATCAAGGGGACAACAACAGCAGAATCAGCCTAGCATGTCTTTTGATGGCAGGAAAACCTGGATCCTCAGTTATTCAGGGACTTCTTCCAAATTGGCAAACCACTAATGTTAATACCGTTTACCTCACCTTCCTGTTCTCTTTGAATCTACAAAACGATACAAAGCAAAAGTCCCAAAAGCATCGTTTCTGTTTCCCTCTTACTCCGTGACACTGACAAATACCAGTCTGCTCCTGTAGCTCAGCTCACAAGATGGCAGAAAAAAGAGAAGCTGTGGAAGTATTTACTTTATTTTGAAGACGAAAGACACGACAGTGAAACTCTAATTGCGTGCCTGGGTGATAATAAGTGTCAGCTGCACAGAGTTCTACTTCAAATTTAATAACGGACACCTGCAAGATTAGCACAGACGCTCCACAACGCCGGTGGCCCACGGAGGAGGGAAATGATGCTGGTGCAACAGCTCTGAAACGACAGCGGCTAGTTTTTAGTTCGGCTAAAGCTGCAACTCAGAGGAAAATTAAGGAGCTTGGAGCTAGTAATACGACAGAGGAGATGCTACCGGTGTCAAAAGAAGGCCTGTAGGCTATATGAAAGTGTTCCAAAGAGGTGTTACGCTGATGTTATGCCAGTCGAACAAATTGCTTATACCGACATTTGTTCTGCATCGGGTTACTTTTCAATGGTAATCATGTTGTAGTAGCGGCCGGTAATAAACCAGTCCTCATGAAGAACAGTGCTCTTTAATGAATTCAGCACAGACTAACATCGAAGAGGTAGCAGTGACACACATCAGTTATCAGCTAGCCATCTAACTATATTCTAACTCTAAACCTTTACCGACTCCGCTTTACTCTTATTTTGCGACACCACCCTCTAGTGGTGCAATATGATATAAACATTA